TGTAGATTCCCGGCTGTGTTTCCCCGGCCCACGGCCCGGCCCACCCTGGAACTCGATCTCCATCTCCACGTCAACTTCAACTTCATCTTCTCTTCCATGTTTTTGCCTCGCTCTCCTCGGTCCATCATGTCTGCGGTGGAATGTATGCATCTTCGCCCGCGCAAGTTTGCGCCTCTGGATCCAGCCCGGACATCCAATGCCCCGCTCTTGAAGGGAATTGTGTTTGATGTGGATGGAACTCTGTGGTAAGTGGCCATATCAAATGTTCTGCCGTGAGATGTCTTGCACTACTTTCCCATTCTTACTCTTTCATCGCGTTCGTTTTTTTCGTTGTGTGGCTTTGTGTACCCTGCCGGCTTGATGCTGCAATGGCAGTTTTGGACTGAATATTCAGGCACCAACTTGATATCAACACGTGATATGATGTACGAGGGCTTTTCCTAATCAGGAAGTATACTACCAGCAGCTCATATCTTGTTTTGAGACCGGTTATTGGTTGCACCTGCTTGATACTCGGCAGTACCTCAGTCCGCGTCTTTCCTCTGGAACTTCTGTTATTTAGGATGCCTATGTTGCTATTCTGTAGCCTGGATACTCTTTTGCTGTTCTTCGGGTCTATACAAGGCACTCTTCGAGATGTTTCCTCGATGTCTTTTCCACCCTGATATTCACAAACAATATTGGAACCCTTGACTGCTATTCATGCCTTGAAGACATGAAAACCATCCTTCAATGCATACCCCATTCGATATTGACTAGACCTCGCTAACTTCACGAAAGTCTACCACAGCACCACATGTTCAACGAAATGAGGTAAGGCTTCCACCTCGACATCCCTAGCACTATATCAGACATAATTCAGAACCCTACCACCAACCATAATCCATAATCCCAATCCAAACTAACACATCGCCACAGAGAAGCTCTAGGAATCGACCGCTCAATCGACATCCTCCACCACATCCGACAACTCCCAACACCAGAAGACCGCGCAGCAGCAGTGTCAAAGGTCCAAGCCGTAGAACGGCGAGCAATGGTAGACCAACAACCGCAGCCCGGTCTACTCCGGCTAATGGACTACCTCGAATCTCGAGGGTTACGGAGGGCGCTTTGTACGCGGAATTTCGAGTATGTGGCAATCAAGTTAACTCCATGGTTTTCTATTCATGCGACCACTATAGCCTCTAGAACAGATACTAACACTTCCACCAGAGCACCCGTCAAGTACCTAGTCGACAACCATCTCCCAACACACGTCTTCTTACCCATCATCACGCGGGACACACCCAATCTCCTCCCGAAACCTGATCCAGCTGGTATCTTGCATATCGCAAGTGAATGGGGGCTGAGTAATCGGGCTGAGAGTATGATTATGGTGAGTTTAGCTGCTTGTTCTCATGATCTTGTGATTTGTGCGTAGAGATGCTGATTGTCCGGATTTTGTTAGGTTGGTGATAGCATTGATGATATGACATCTGGGCATATGGCTGGTGCGGCGACGGTCTTGCTTCTCAATGAGCGTAATGTGCATTTGAAGGAGCATGCCCATACTGATCTTTGTATTTCGCGGCTGGATGATTTGGTGGATATTCTTGAGCAGGGGTTTCTTGGGACTCGGGAGAATGATGAACATGTTCAGTAGTGGTGCTGTATGTGCTGTATGTGCTGTTGCATCTAGTGGAATTGAGTGATAGTCGCATAGGTCTTCCAGATAATGCATGGTGTGCCATACGAGGTCTCTCGATAACTTGAAACAGATTGAAGATATCAGATTTCTTCTCATCGTAAATGCCTGCTCAGCGGAAAACTGACGGCTAAGGTTGAACAATTGGTATTTCCATGCCAGATGTGTCCCATTCAAATCGACCATCCATTACCGCCCTCTGCCTCTACCACCACCCCGTGGCCCACGAGAACGCCCAGAGCCCCTCGAAGGCCCACGGCTACGGCCACCACCACGCGGTGGAGGCGGATTCCTCGCACGAGGCGAAGGCGAGCGACGCCGGCGCTCATTACCAGGGAATGGAGGACGACCACGGGGAGCCGGAGGGGGTCCCCGAGACGCACCACGACCAGTGCCGACATTACTGGCGAACTTGATATTGCCACGGTTGTTACCGCGGTGGACGGGGGCGGGACGGCCACGCCCTCTTGAAACGCGGGACATCATATCACTTTCATCTGGGGAGGAAGAACGGGACCATTCCGCGCCGCGGGAACCAGGTCTGCTGGCGTTTCCATGTGAGCGTGGTGCTGGTCCTGGGCGGCCGGTCCGTCGGGGTCCATCGGCTGTGTTGAGGTTCGTGATCATTTCTGGGTCCAGACCTTTCAAAGTGAAGGATGATGTGCTGAGTTTTAGATATGGGTCTGGACAATCTCCTACTAGGTGCTTTGCGCTGGCGCAGTTGGCGCAGGAGATGGAAACGGAGATTTGGTCGGAATGCAGATCTCGGGATGGGAATTTCCAGAGGAAGTCGCATTCTGATTCGAGGTGTTCGTGGCCGCACATGTCGCAGGGCACTTCGGAGGCGGAGCATCGTAGCTTCGATGTGCACTGTGGCTCGCCATGGCCTCTTTCGCGACATTTTTGGCATCTTCGCCAGGTGGGACAAACAACGCTTGCGTGCTTGTTCCAAGCACCGCAGTGTGAGCACTTAAACATAGAGTCAGTAAAAAAGTAACGTCTCTAGATGTAGACCTCAAGGAGCATACCTCTTTTGTTGGGCAAATGTCGGCCATGTGGCCCTCGGTTTGACACTCAATACAAGAAACGGGAAGCTTCAGGTCAAGGTCGTGGATGTTGCGGTCGTAGTATACGTATCGGGACTGGGTTTCTAGATCATTCTTGTTCAAGTCCACCAGAGACGTCGGCGCAGTGGGGTACTTGAGTGCGAAGAGGCGGAAAGCCTCTTCTTTTGACTGAGAGCCAGATTCCGTTCCGACCCCGTTCGAAGTTGATACGGCGGTTGTTCCATTTTGTATCCCATTCTCAGGCATCAGACGCTCTGGATCGTAGTCTTCGCCGTCGTTCATTCCATTCTCCTTGGAACCGATATTCAATAGGATAGAATCATCGGCTTCCGAGTCAAGCGAATCTGAATCGTCGGATTCACTCTTGGAATCAATCTCACCCTCTTCCAGATCTTCTTGGGTTCGAGATTTTTTCCGTGCGCGAGCCTCACTGTTAGCTGACGAGGCAGAGTCACTGCGACTGCGCCAGTACTTGTCATTCACAGCATCAAACTGCTCAGACTGCTCAGACTGCTCAGTGTTCCCCTCCATCGGTGCGGATCGCTTCCCTCCCAGAGTTGTGCGCACTGCCTTCTTCCTTCCTTGGTTCCAGCTGATGGCAGGTGCAGTGCTTCCAGCGTGTGGGTTCGTGGTGTCGTTCGCGTCGGAGGCTGAGTCGGAGTCGGAGTCTGAGTCGGAGGAACCAGAGCTGGATGTGCTATCAGGGTCAACCTGCAGGGAGGTGGCAGTAAACGCACCGCCCCGGGGGACGAAATCTGCATGATCAGGCGCATCTTGACTTTTATTCTGCCGCTGTCGCTTTGCTGGCCACGTGCTATCGCGTGAGGCGGAGCGCGTGGAACGAGGGTTATTCGCACGCTGTGCGCCCACCGACGCCGTCCGTGAATCGGCTTCTTCGTCAGAGGAGTTTGCCATTGTTTTCTATTTGCAATGGCGTGGACGATTTGATCGGTTGGAATAGAGAGATCTTCAGTAGAATTCAGATCAAATTAATTTCACGGTGGCCGATATTGACCATTTGCGCAATCGGGCCGCCAAGTATGGAGTATAGATCGGCCATTTATAATGACCATATTGGTAGTGTCTAGGCCTTGCTTTATAAGTCTATATTGAAATGTAGTACGTATTGTTCTCAAAACTTCATGTAACAGAACCAAGAACTATATCCTGCTCAAAATGTGTGGGAACAGGGCTGAAAGGAGTGTCGATATACACAATATTGTAGATGTAGAGTCCGAAGAAGTCTATACAAACGCTGCTAATGGAGGCTTTGAGCCTCGAAGAGAGCTATATAATTGTGATCACTGGAGGTGAATATACTAGATTTCGATGCTGTGCTACTGTCTACTTCAATCTCTGCATATAACTCCGTGATGATCCCTAAGTGTACGAAACACAAGTTCATATTTATAATTAAAGATAAATTCAGTCAAATTTACTGACATATACCTCAACGGTGCTATGGATCCTAAAAGTCCACTGGTAGCTCCAGACATGCTTTTAACCTTGAATCATCAACCCATGGGCTTCAGGGATTTCGTGAGTATGAAACCGCTGTACGTTAATATAGAAACATGTTACTCACTCTATCGCAAATTTCATTTGCATATAGTTTATTTTGGAGAAAAAAGCCCATTATATAAATAAAGGGGCAACTGTTCGGAGATAGCGTTGGGTATAGAGTAGCCAAGTCTGTGGCGGCTATTGCTATAGTAGCGTCGGAAATATTTCCATTCACCGTGAATAAATCCGGTGTCAAAAAAAGCCCAGAAGAAGGGACCGGCAGATTCAAAATGCTTTCAATTATAGTAATGATGAGAATCTTCTAGTTCAACAATGAAACACGAACAAGACAAGAATATCTGCAAATTGCCCCTTTGGGGCCCTATTGGTGCCTTGGGATTAGATTCCGCACATGCATAAGTGCAGCGAAAACCAAAAGTTCCAGAGTAGCCAGAAATATAGTCATCTCCGAGTATAAATACCTAATTTTAGCGGAAGAATAAAGTCGTGAATCAGAGAGCTCTTCCGCACCCCGTGACCCAAGCCGATCCGACCGGCAAACTCCAGTCTGGGCCGTGCCACCTCATCCCCACGCTCCTTTTCCTCTCTCCTTCTCTTCCATCTTCATTTCTTTTTGAGCAACCGACAAGCTGGCGTCCAATTCAAAAGTTTCTTCCCTGCTGGCCCCCCGTGGCATCTCTTTCCCTCCGGATGTTGACACGGCGCCGCAGCGGCTATCTCCAAGCATGAACCAAAAACAAGGCCGACGGAGGCGATCCAGCAGTCTGATCTACCAGGAACCTGCTGAGTCAATCGAGCGCACAAGTGACCAGGCGGCTTTGCCAAACCTCAACGCAGATTGGGTGAACGCCAAGGGTAAGTGGCAAGCTGAGACCACGCAGCAGATCGGGAGCTGACTCGATTCATATTCTAGGTGCCTGGACCATTCATTTCGTCTGTATCGCTGCCCTCAAGATCTTCTACGACATCATCCCGGGCGTCTCACAGGAGACCTCGTGGACCCTCACCAACATCAGCTACATGTTCGGATCCTTCCTCATGTTTCACTGGGTGCGGGGCATCCCATTCGAATTCAACGCCGGTGCCTACGATAATCTGAATATGTGGGAGCAGATCGACAACGGTGACCAATACACGCCCGCCAAGAAGTTCCTGCTCAGCGTCCCGGTTGTGCTCTTCCTCCTTAGCACTCACTACACCCACTACGACATGACCTACTTTACCATCAACTTCCTCGCCACATTGGGAGTGGTTATTCCTAAGCTGCCATTTGTACGTCTTGCAATGATCACGGGATTTATTGGATGGCTTGCTAACATTTTGTCTACAGTGGCATCGGTTGCGGATAGGTCTATTCTCCGAGATACCCGAGGAGTCATAGTGCCTCCAAATCTTTCCTTTTCTATCCAATTGCTATCCATGTTGGCGTCTTCTCGGCCCCCTTGATTTTTCAACCTCTCTCGCCTCCCTTCCAGGGCCTTTGCATTGCGAACTTGATTGACGGAGTTTTGACCCGTTATTGGCTATCGCGTCCTGTTTCTCCTTTCTTTGGCAAATATGAAGACGCAGAAGTAAATGCCAGTCCAAATTCCCATCCTTTCGGCCCTATGTCTAGAGTTCCTACCAAACCCTTGCATTTATGCGTTTCTAGGGGACTCAAGAGCCTAATAAACCTGAACACTGTGAGTGCATAGTATCTCCACAGGTAGGGCTGCAAGTTAATCTCTTGGCTGGGTCCAAGCGGGGCTTGCATGTGAAGTTGAGGAAAGTCTAGTATTGCCTTGTTGTTCGGTCGTATGTCATTTATTTAATAACAGTTGGTATATGAATGTGATATTCCAACATTCTGAACCTCGCTACCACACCTGTCCCACATCACTCGGCTTGCGGATAGAAAGCACAGAAGGACAAAAGGAACCTAACGCATTTATTTGATTTATATGGTCCTTGTTGACTAAAGAGTTGGATCCTATTCGCTTACATTTCTCCCTGGTAGATCTATAGTGCAGTAATAAACGGGCTATAGATCGTGCTTTCTCCGCTTTATTGCCGTATTCTTTGCAGACTTCCAATGTCAATATCTAGTTCAAACCATCGTGCTGAGTACTTCTTTCCCTTTGACATCAAGTCTGGTCTCTCTTTGTTAGGACTTACAGTCTAATCAGACATACTCTATCCTATCGCATCTCCCCGCTTATCGATAAGCGCGTCGACCTCAACTTCCTTCTCGCAAACATTCCACATGGCGACGGACGAGGTTCCCTACCGGTCACCGGTACCGCTGGCATTTGAATTAGTCCAGCATGTCGGTATCTTCTTCGAAGAAAACCTCCGTACGTCCCCAAACCTCCGAGACGCGTCTCAAAGTTTCACAGAAACGCGACTAACATTCCAATTGCTCCGAACTAGACACTCAAGCACTTAGTCTCCTCTACAACACCCTTGCATCCGGCACAGTCTCCTCAGCCCAAGCAGTGATTCCTCAGCCACAGCATCTGGCCGTCGCGGCCACCATCCTCGTTCACCCATCCACGACAACACGCGCCAAATCGACGGAAGAGAAAGAAGCCGCCAATGCATCCCTCCGCCTCCTTCGACTTACGAACTCACTTGTCGGTCCTATTGATGCAAAGTTCAATGTTGCCTTTGCCTTTACGCATTTCGAATCCTCGCGCTATGGCTTACGGCGTCAGGATAGCCCAGAGACTAGTGAGCTTAAAAACGGCGACACAAAACCCATTAAGACGGTGATCAGTGATGCAGACTCGGTATGGCAACGTGCAGAGGACTTCTGGCATGTCGTCGGGTGGGCATTCCGTTGTTCAGTGCTTCACCCGGAGAGGTGGGAGCGCTGGCAGATCTGGCTGCAGTTCATGTGCAACGTTCTCGAAGATGACTGGAAAGAGCGCGAAAGAAAATGGTTAGAGGCCAACGGAGGCGAGAGAGAACCCTCACAGGACGCTGAACCAGCCACGAAAGGGACACGCGGGGGCAAACAGGCGGCAGAGGACGACCTCGAGATTTTCCGCGAGAGCTTGATCTTTCAATATATAAGCTCGAATACCACGTCCGGACGAAACCGTCGGATCCTGCGTGCTATTTTTGCTGATGGAACGCGAGAAGAGTTCAAGGAGGTATACAGAAAAAAGGAAATCACCAAGACCTCGAAAACAACGCAGAATACCAAGAAGAGGGAAGTCGAAGTCAACATCGACAAGAATGAATACGGCGACTACCTGGATGAGTCAGGAGAAGAATCCAACGACACACCTGACACAGTCTCACCTCCATCCAAAGCAAAAGCCAAAGAAACCAGGTCTAGACGCGCCAAACGCACAAGACGAGGAACAAAAACCGACCTAGACCAATCTACAGCCGCCAGCCCCATCAGCCAAATACAAAAAATCACCCACGTCCAAGAGCCCGGGAGCGACCTCTCCTCCCTGGGCGGCTACGACTCCCTCTCTCTCCGCCAACAACTCCTAAGCATCCTCTCCAGCGTCTCCACCCGCCTCCCTGAAGACTTCATCCCCCTAGACGACCTCTACCACATGTTCGTCGAAAACATCCGGGGCCTCCCCCTCCCAATCTTCCAACACTTCATCAGCCCCTCAATTCTCCCACACATGATCCCAGCCGCGCAAACAACCCTCTGCGAGCTCCTCCTCTTCGTCATGCGCGAGAGTTCAGCACCTAGGTCTGACGACGATTGTCTCCACCAGGAAAAGCTGGAAAAGTGTTTCTTACCCTACGCAGCGGCGAATCCCAGCATCGAGAATAATGCCAAGGTTTCGATTCTGCTGGAGGCGCTAATGGCGTTGCTGCATAAGAGTGGGATGCTCTTTGTTACGCCACGGCTTCGGAAGGTTGTTAAGGCTGGAGTTCTTAAGCGTGGTGAGAGGGCCGAGGAGGAGAGGAAGAGGTGTTTGGCTAGGGGGGAGAGGGTTTCTGTTGAGTGTTGTTATTTGCGCGAGAGCGGGTTTAGGTTGTTGTTTATGGTTGAGCATCTTTTGCCGATTGCTAGTTAGTCTTGACGTTTAGGGCCACCTGTGTGTGTTTACGATGTTTATGAATGCTATGATGAATATATTTCAAGGTCGCATTAGGCAGTTTGTTTAGATGCGGCTCTGTGTTTCGCATCTAGCCCTAAGGTTGTTCGGACCAATGTTGCAGTCCGAAAACTGAGCAAGGACAGAGGTGATGGTGATCTAGTCTATGGATGTCTCTTTTCCTTTCTTTTCTGTAGATTATCATGGAATTTCGATACACCTCTTGCTATCTACAGTCGCATCACACCAAAACAGCATTATCAAGAGCAAAGAAAAAAAAAAAAAAAAAGGGAAAGGCTTCGAACGGGAATCATAGAACACAAATAATGAAATAATACCACAAATGGCATGCAAAAAAAAGGGATAGTTCTGCTTCAGTGGTGATACATGATAGAGCAGCAATCAAAGAAAAGGAAGAAAAAGCAATAAGACGAAAAAGCAAGTAGAGAGGGTAAAATGTGGAAAGAATCCTAGGTTGAATAGGCACCAGCTTCGGGAAACCATCGACAGAAGACCAAGCAGCAACTTATGGAGGCGGCCGGGGCCCAATAATCTGACGCCTAGCACCACCAACACCCAGCCCAACACCGCCACGGTTCTGGTTATCACCACCCATGTAACCATACTGATGAACGTCCCACGACTGACCGGGCCCCGAGCCATGAGTGGGGTCGTTAACACCACGCTCGGCAGCGGCGGCAGTCTGTTTCTGGTTTTCTTCCCATTCTTGCTGGCGGGCACGTTCGCGCTCCATCTCACGCTCGAGGAGAGATTTCGATGCCCATCCGCCGGCCTTTGTCTTCTGCTGTGAAGCTACACGCCGGCTGTTCTCTTCGTCGACTTCGGCGGTTGACGTGTAGTCTTGGGGTCTGTGGGCGGCTGGGGCTGCGGGGGCGGGTGCTGGGTTTGAGGAGAGGAAGTTGTCCACGCGGCTTTGGCGGTTGCGGTTGGCGTTGTAGGAGACTGGGTCTGGGAGGGGACGAGGGGGTTGAGGGAGTTCTCTGGGTGGGAGTGTTGGCTGTGCAGAGAGGGATGATGGCTTGGGCTCTGGGAGAGGGCGAGGAGCTGGGGGCGGCGCTTGTTCCTCGACGGCTTCGGGTTCCTCTGAGGTGGCTGGCATTTCCTGGTTGTTCTGCCACTCTCTGCGGAGTAGTAGCCGTTCTTGCTCAAGCGAAGAGAGACTGTAGCTTGGCTTAGGAGGCACGGGACGTGGACGGCTGCGAGACCGGGGCTCGTCGGTGGGTTTGGGAGACTGAAGCTCCTGGCGTTCGGTCTCGTACTGACGCTCCCGGTCCTTTGCTTGCTGAAGCTCACGCTCGAGCTCTTTAATGCGTCGACTTTCCGGTGTCTCCTCGACGGATCTTACTCCGCTGGAGGCATTGCTAGTCTGGGAAGCCTGGTATTGGCTCAAGAACTGGCCGTTGAGACGAGTGTCGTTTTGACTGCGTCTGTGTTGCCGCTCCTCCTCCAAGCGGTTCTCGGCGTCTTTCTCTTCCGCGGCGTGGCGCGCCTCCTCCTCTTCCCACTGACGCTTTTCCTCGTCCCAAAGCTTTCTCTCCGCTTCCATCTTGATACGCTCCTGCTCCCTTACGCGGGCCGTCTCTTCTTCCCATCGGCGCTTCTCTTCAGCTTTGGCTTGAGCCTCTTCCTCTTCGATCTGTTGCTGGCGGGCACGTTGGGCCTCTTCCCTCTCTGCATTCTCTTGGCGGATTCTGTCCTCCTCCTCACGCTTGCGCTTTTCCTTCTCTGCAAGACTGGGCACAGCAGGTCCAGGTGTCGTGATCTGTCGGCGAGCACCAAACGCAATTCCTTGGTTGCCCTGACTCGCTCCACCCATGTAGCCATATTGGTGGATGTTCCAGGCCGGAGTAGTTACCTGTTCATCTCCCTTCTTGGCCCAAGTACTGTATGACCCGGAAGGCTTTGTCGGACTGCCTGTCCGAGCGGGAAAAGATGGTTTTGTGTCGCCTACATTGCTAGAAGAGCGGGCTGAGCGAGGAGTATAGCCCCCGCCGGAGGATCCCGTCGCGTTGGGGCTGATAACATTGCGCTTGCTCTGCGGGCCAACCGCACGAGGGAACTTGCTGGGCTCAAGGGCATTGGCACGGCGACTGAATGCTGCCAGACACTGTAGAACTTGCGCGGGATCCTTCGCCTCGTAGAGATCAACCGTCAAGAAGACGTCGTGCGGCGGGAGGTTGAGCGGCGGCATTTGGCATGCGCGCAAGAAATGCGAGATATTCTCCATCTGTACAAACGGCGCAGGCAAGGACTTATACTTCACGCCCGGTGACACGGCGAGGTTTACCAGTCTAGATAGGAGTCAGTCAGGGGTCCAGGCTTTGGCGGAAAAGCGCAATCACAACTTACTTGCAGAGAGCAATGCCATCCTTGAGACCTTCGAGCAAGTCTTGCGATGGCAGTTTCTCATGAAGCATTTCCTCAATCCAGTCGCGCACCTCCGCGGCTGCCTGCGGGGTATAGCGGGACAGGCGCATATTGCGCAAGTCCTTGTCGAGTGAAGTCACTGAAGCCATGGTGTCGAGTGGTCTTCAGGTCGAGTGTAGAGCGCAGTGAGATTGTTTAGCCACTGTTTGGGGCTATGTATCCCTTTGCCGCCTGATCGGCGCCTATGGTGTGGCGGGGGGTTGGGTAGCCGAGGAGTGTATTCCGTGATGCAATTGGAAATACGAGCAAGAGAAAATGCCCCGAGGGCTGGAAATGTTGAAGCCTGGAAGATCCGAGGGAGAAGAGAAGAGAGGAGAGTGAGAGGGAGAGAGGCCAATGGAATGCTCGGCCATGTTTATCCCGATGACGTTTCTCGTTCCGCCTCAATTCTTTTTCTCTCCTTGCATCGCAACAATGGTGAACAGCTTGTGGTTCAAATGGAAGGCTCTGCGCCTGCCCTGGAGGAAATCTTTTTTAGTCGGTCAGTATCTGCTTTTCTTGCCTGGCGACTGACGCTGACCGTCATCTCTTCACAGGCCAGGATCTCGCCGGCAACACCTTCTGGGAGTTCAAAGATGTCTTGAATGCAGCTCGTTACCGCCGAATCGTCCGATTTGATCCGAAAACACATTTCAGTGATGTTCAAGTGACACGTGAGTCATCTTGTCGCATGCAGGGAAGATGCAGGCTCGGTTTGGATGGGCTTGGTGGCTTCATGCCCGGCAAACCGAGATAATGCGATGAAACCGAGACTAACACTCTATCCTATCCAGCACAATGGCACCAATGGCTACGACATGTCCGGCAACATCCTCCGAGCATCGAAGAGCAGAAACAGGATCTCGTCCGCCAAGCGCAAATCAAACAACTCGCCCGACTTGCCGACGAACGCTGGGCCAGCAAAGCCTCTTTCCTGGATAAACCCAAGACCCAACAAGGAGGAACAGCGACTCAGCCCGGTGGTCCCAGCTTGAGCCATCCAACTGCCAATACCCAGACCGCGCAGGATGCACCGGCATCTACCGCACCGCCCAATGCGCCACGGGCGGACCCTGCCTCTACAAAGCCAGAGACGAAAAAGGAGGAGAACCCATGGGCCAAGGCCAGCAAGAACAACCCAGGCGAGGAGTGGCAGCCTGAGGCGTGGTCACCTAGTTCCAAGCGGTAAATGATGATATCGACAAATCGGTCAATTTTCGCAAGGGTATATAAACTCGGTTTTCAAAAAGGAAATGGGCCCAAATCTCAAAAAAACCATTTAGGGTACAAAGTGTGTTGATTTTGTTCCATTGGGAATATACTGCAGGACACCCCCGGGCCTAGGATGATATCAAACATATCACACGCCAAGTCTTGTCTCCAACATTTTCTCCGATTTGGTGCCTGGAGAGAATAGAGGTGATTGCACACTCAGCCTCTTCCATATGAGCGTGGGACTACGGATTCCCCTGTCATATCGACAACCATCTTCCTTACTGTTGATATATTCAATGACAGATATGGCTCGCCACATGTATATTATGTTGTTTTCCGTGTTGAGACTATAGCCTTCATAACTCTCCATTCGTGTCTTAGCTACGCTAATTTTGCTTGTCTTGCAATGGCAAATCAACAAAGTCAAATCGCTCCTAGGCTACAACTTCCTGTGTACAACAGGCATCATAAATGTGTATACAGTGCCATGGAGTAATGGACAGTCTCTACACGAAAAGTCGAAGTGAGTATACCGTTTCATGCTTTTTTTTCCCGCCCTACTTTGACCTCTCTGTTTTCACCTCTTTCTTGACTATTTTCGAGTGTCTTGGGTTGACCATGTAGACTGTATAGAGGTGGGGATATGACAGGACTTATGGCCTGCGGCAACGTAGACACAAGAGGAGTTTTTTGTATCTTTTTGTATTTTTATACTCTAACAAATGCCCTCCCACCCACCCTCATTTTTCTATTTTGTCTATTTTCTGTGCAGGAAACAAAGAAACAAAAATACAAAAAGAACAACGCAAGACCAACAGAAAGACCAAGGCGCAACGAAGATATCAACAAATTCAAAAAACAACCAACGCCACAAACACCACACAGTAAGGCAACCTGTAGAAGAAAAAGTTTTTGCAAAGATATTTTCCCACCCTCCCACCCTTATCTTCGTCTTTCTTTTTTGGTGTTTCGTGTTTTCTCATCCAAAGAAAAGCAACGGCACAGCAAACAGCAGACAATCGAAAAACAGATCAGAAATCAAGAAAGCAGGAAATGGCAAGGTTCCAGAAGTATTCAAAGAATATCTCAAGTTGTCGAAGACATGTTCAGAAAATCGCAATGAAGTAGATCAGATGTAGGCCATCTTAGACACAATGCTCTTTTCCAACTGCACACAATCAGGCGGGGGTGGTGGCATCTTCCCGTCGCTACCAGGCCCTCTTGGTTGCATGAAGGCATAGTAATAAGCGAGCATGTACTTGCGAGCCCGGTCACACATCTTGTCCGCAAGGAACGCAGGAGTGGCGTAACTGATAGACCGAGTGGCACGACCCATCATGTAGCAGATGTTATGAGTTAGCTCTTGTATCATATCAGCTGGCTTGCCTTCCGGGTTGGTCTTGGGATTCCTGAAGATGTCATCATGGATGACAATGTAGTGAGCTGGGCGAGCGGAGCCTTGAAGAGGAGCCTGAGCTTGCAGATAGAAGTCCCAGAAGATAGGGCGAGTAACGACTCGATCAACGACGCATCCATTGATGGGATTCTGCGTCCGATCTTGATCCTTTTCAACGGTTGGGTAGAAGCGCACATTGTGACGTTTTCCGCAGACGACAATGGTGATGTAGGGCATAGATCTGTTGTAGAGCTCTGCGCACGCCTTCTTGATCAATGGAAGTTCAAAGTTCAGGACCATATCGAATTGACCTTCGCTAACACCATCGCGGTAGACGAGGATGTTCATAGGCAATGTGCCGCCATTGTGAGTCTTCCACAGTTCCAGCCGTCTGTACATCAACTGCTGGAGAACTTCAACATGCTCCACGCGGCGGCCTTGAATCATGATTTCTCCGGGCCATTGAGCCATACGACCGTCAATTGAGGCAACAATGGCAGCAACACTGGGCCAACTTGGGGGATCTGTGCCGGTTGGATGGGTGACATCCAAGCCAACGACCATGGTCTTTCCTTGTCCAATGAACTTGGAGTGGGATCCGTCAAGTACTTGGTTGGCGCCACCAAATTTCAGGTTGACCTTCATAGCGTTGTTGCTCAGGTATTGGTCGTCGCCCTTGCTAAGTTTGTCAACCTGCATGCAGTGGGTAATGATGCCAGTTTTGACGTCTCCCGAGTACTTGATCCAGTCGAATACCTTGCTGTTTGCGTCAGAGAGAATAACGACGGCAAACTTGACTTTCCCATTCAGCAACTTAATGAACAATTGCTTGATCGCTTCCCGATTTTTGGGCTCACTTTCGGGCCCCCCAGAGAGTGACGCCTGCAGATACATCGTAGGGTCGCTGACTTTCATGCCGTGTTCTCGTAGCTTCTTGGTGAATTTTTGAACACACATGTTGGGAGTTTCGAACAAGTCTCGACCCGTCCGAAGCCAAAGAACAGCCGGCGTTGGAATGGTGGCACCGCTGCAGAATCTGGTGTTTGCCAGGTTCCAAGAGCCAAATCGGGGAGTGGTCTTCTGAGTTCCATATTTTAAGACAGGGGTGTTCAAGATGCGAGCTGGGACAGTGACCATATCAGGGAGGACTTTGATGCCTCTTTCCACGGTTTTGCCGGCGGTGATTCCCATGATGTTGAGACCATCAGTGGTGATTGACTCGTAGTTCTCAGGTGGCCTACGGCAACTGACTTTGATCATCGCCTGACGCTGCGAAGTAGCTGGGTCTCCACCAAAGCCTTGGCCAGGAACAACCTCACAGACATCCAGCGGCAGATAAGAGGGATGTTCCAGGTTACCGACATTGACAACGGGCATGTCATGGCACCTGATCTTCATGTTGTAGGCTGTGATTTTGGTTAGCATATTCTAAAAAGCAAGGGACGGGGAGAAGACATACTTTTCTCAAAATACTCGGTGACCGTGACATATCGTCCAGGTCTACCTTCTTGGTTCATGAAGAATTGAACGTTGCCCGGCGAAGAAGCAAGACGCTTGACCCGGGGAAGTTCATTGGGGTTGGCACCTTTGACTTTTCCATCTGGGGAGTCGCAACACCGAGAATCGACTTGATCGCATACTGTGGCTTCCCGAACGCATCGTTTCTCTTTGGCAAGTGAATGGCATAAATCTTGAGACCTTTCAAGTAGCGTCCAAGGTGCTCGCGATCCTCACCATAAACAACCATGTACTCCTTGATCAGAGCACTCAAGGGACCGGGCTTGTAGAAAGCGCCGTGGTTGACATTCAGGTTCAGCAGGAACTTGCCTGTGCCAAAGCGAACACTGGAAAAGTAGCCACGAGCAGCCTCAATACCACCACCCATTGGCCAGGCCTCCTTTCCTGGGCCCATCCGGAAGAACTTGGTGCGTCCTCTACCAGAAATGTAAATGCCGGGGTCCTTGTATGGGTGCGCACTCATGACGATGTTGAGGATGCGCAGAATGACGGCCTCATTTTCCACTGGGCCCCGTTGTTTGGGATTCCGCAGAAAGTTCTTGAAATCATCTGGCTTGACTGAACCCTGATAGATGGGCGTGACCTTGTAAACAGGCCGTTTGTCACCAGGAGCAACAGCAGCGTCACCAATGCGACGAACGAAGCTCGAGGTGTCATCCAATTGTCTGTTCAGAACGATCTCAGTGGTTCCATCTGTAGCAGTGCCGATGTTTTCCTGGAAGCGTCGTTCCTGCAAAAACGCGTCCATCAAGAACTGACGATGCGCCTTGGGGATTTTTTCAGCATGCTTGAAGCCGTCGCCATCCTTGCCGCCCTCCTTGCCAGTGTCTTTGCCGCCATCCTTTTTCACAGCGATATCCACGCGGTAAGAGTGGTACTCCTGGTCTGGCTTGAATTGCATTTCGAAGAAGTTGGCCCGAAGTACCATGGCTCTGCCTTGGGTTCCATAGCCGGGGCGTCGAGCGAGTTGGTGGTCCTTCTGGGTATCCTTTGCGGTGTCCTTGATGTACTGGTTCTCGTAGCTGAGGGCGTTCGGATCAGGTGGCTGAGTGGGCGCCAGGAGCATCCTGTTCGACAAATGTTAGATATTTCCTTTCTTGTAGATCACGTCAACTTACTTCGAAGGACCAGATTGTTGACCTCCACGACCACCACGACCACCACGGTCACCACTGAATCCACGTCCTCCGCGAGAGCCACGGTCCCCTCCACGATCCCCGCCGCGATCACGGTATGGCAAATTGCGACCAGACATTTTAGCGAATGCGCTGGTTAGAGATGTGTGTGTTCGGATGTTGGTGAGAAATGATTGAAGTGCCCTGCTGACTCTTGAGAAAGATGGCGAAGTGCAATTGCAATTGGGCCCGGAATTCTATAGTTCCGAAGCACCAAAGAGAAAGTGGAAGGAATGAGCGATGAACTAGGAATTGTGTTTCCTAGAACAGTGAATGGTGCAAATGATTTGCTTTCAAAGAAGGTGGAGGGCGAACTGCGAATGTGGTCTAAAATATCGTATCTTAGAATAGGTAAGGACGCTAGGAGGTTGTTTGTGAGGAAAGGAGTGTGAAAGGTCGCAGTCGAGCCAAGATCTGGAGCCTTGGAACTGTGAAGGGAACCAGGAACCTGTTGCGTAGGAAAAAGGAGGGTCACAATGCGGAGTCGAACTAGGGTCTGCTGTCCTAGAGCGGCGGATGAGGAGGAGGAGCTGGCGAAAAGAATGAGTGTAAGCCTGGTCACCAGCAGCGGCTTGAATGTGGAGGTTTCGCCTTGCCCTTCTGTAAGGGGACGAAAGCGGTAGTCAAAGAAAGGTAAAAATCTAGAAGCACGTAACAGCAATGCGTTAGCACAATGGACCGTAAAGATGACCAAACCGTATGAAGATAAAGATCGAAGAACAGACGAATGGGGAGATGCAATGGGGAGAACGAAGCAATGAAAGAAGTCAATGGCCAAGACCGCAGCAAAAGCAAATGAATCGTTGTCATGAGAGAATGCGGGCTTCAATGGATAGAACAAGTGCAGATATAGACAAGGAAAGATGAAGTAATCACCAGCATACGCAGTAGTGATGCCAATGGCTTGATGTGGATGAATAATAATCGGGATGATGAGATGGGGTGAAGAAGAAGCCGCAGGAATGAAAGGAAATGCGGTATAAACGCCGGATGGCAAATAGAAAATGACCGGAGGAAGAATACCAGAGCGTTCTTATGTGTTTGTGGATGACTGGCAAGCAAAACAACACAAGCTGGCGGAGATAGGGTTGTGATCAAAGCAGAGTACGGGGTAAAGGTAAGGGTAAAGTTGAGATCTGGGGTAAGCACAAAATAAGGACGAGTCAAGAGAAAATGCAGAGTAAAGTGAGAAATCGGTGAGAGCTCGTAGGTAGAGAATTTAGATGCAAATGAGGCTAGGGTAGTGAAAAACCAACTCAAAATGGACTGACAACTAACCTCTGGGGAGAGCGCGTGTGGTAGCAATGTAAAAAAAGAAGAAGAAGAAGGAACTGTAAGCATGGGTTAGTAGCTATAATGAGGAGAACTAGAGATGACAGTGAGATATTTGAATATAGTACTCACAAGGTCTGTGTAAATGTCAATGTTAAGCATGTGCGTGAGGGAAGGAAAGAGGTAAGAGGAAGGAAGAGCTCAAGGGTGCTTGTAGAGTCTTGAGGCTAGAAGGTAGAGTACTTACTAACTGTATTTGAGGCAATTGGGTTTGCAAGTAAAATTCGAAGTGTGACAAAGGAAAAGAAAGGAAGAAGGAAAAATGGATAAAGAGGCTTTACATAGGGCCGCAGTATCAGAATGCACCTCGAGAGATTGTATACTGTAAAGACAAGAGATTATGATAAGAGTTAGCAATGCAGAGTATTAAATTTCTAAGGACAGGACTCACCAGCTTAATCAAGAAGGATGCAGATATAGTAATGACGAAAATTATACAAACGAGCCAAATCTACAGCAGAAGCTGGATAGTCAAAAATATTATGGAATTAGATATCCACGTAAGTGTCTAAACATTAGAGCAATCTAATATTTTGGAGGGTGTATCGGTCACCCCGGCCAGAAGGCCTAAAAAATACCAAACACCGAAAGCAATCCAGATATTCCCAATGATATAAGCCAAAAACACCGGCTCAAGAACGCAGACAAAAAAAAAAAAAAGGAAAACAGAACAATCAAATAGATCAGATTAAATATAAAGCTTAGCATAGAACAGCTTCGAGGGCTTCGACATCACCGCCGGCGCTGCGCACTGCCCGAAGTGCGGCTTCGCTCAGCTTGCGACGTCGGTCGCGGGCTTCTTGCTCACGACGAGCCTTGGTCTTGGAGCTGCCGGAGGGAGCAACTCCAGTCAGGATCTTCTTGCTGTCATGAGCGGTAAAGTTGACGAACGATACGCTGACAGACTTGTTTGAGCCTCGGGGAGAGGAGCCAGATGTCTTGGCGGGCTTGGGGCCGGTCATGCTCTGGCCTGAGAGCTTGCGGCTGTGAGGGCGGCGGTGGTTGGCCTTCTTGGGTGATGTCTCGGCCTTGGGAGAGAGGGATGGAGAGCGGGAGGTGTGGTGAACCTGGGAGGTGGTGAAGGGAGTAGTGAACTTTTGGGTGGGCATCATATTAGATGATGAGAATGAAGAATCCGCTGACATGTCGAAGGAGGGATCGAATTGGATCATGAGACCTCCTTGCATCATGTCATTTTGGCTTCCGACGCTTTGCATGGGGCGGTGGGGTGTGGGAGATGCTAGGTAGGCGGCTTGTTGCTGAGCGACCCGAGTAGGCATGGGAGACCACCAGCTTTGAGTATCTTGGCTCTGGAGGTCTGGGGTGAATGAGAGAGAGGAGGCATGGAGAGGGTCTGATTGCCACGAGGAGAGAGATTGGGGATCAGATGAGTGAGATGAAGAGAAGATATCATCTGCGGAAGGAGGGCTGGAGTTGGTCAGGTTGGAAGAGCTGGGGTGGCCCATGTATTGCTGATGTTGGCGCAAAGCAGCATTTGGTGAGGGCATGGAGACTGCAGGGGAAGGGTGGATCATCCGTGCGTCGAACTGAGGAGGCATCTCAGCGGAGTCTCTGGTTTGGTTCATAGTTTGTTCAGTAGACAAGTTCTCATGCTGAATAAGAACGTCTGATGGAGGAGGGGACAGCGGGAGACGATCTTCTGAACCATGAAGGTTGAAGTTCTGGATGCGCTGGGCCCAAGCCTCGGGGTATGCCATTCTTCCTTTGGAAAGGTTTGAGGAACGCATCAAGCTGGGAGAGAAACTTTGCTTGCGCAAAAGCGCGCGGCGGTCGTTAGGGCTGCGATGGCGGATAGACTTGGGAGTGATTAGAGCGCTCTGAGTGGGCTTGCGTCTGGGAGTAGCTGGGGGAGTAGACGGTGAGGCAGAGAGACCGTTGGTTGCTGTAGGGCGAGAGGAGACTTCGAAGTTGCTCTGTCCAAGATCTGAGATGGCGGAAGGATGGACGGTGTCATGAAGAGTAGCAAAATGATCGACGGCAGCTCCGTCATTCTGCAGGGACCACTCCTGGCCCCAATGTTGCGGTGATTGATGGCGTTTAGAAGTGGAGACAGTGGGTGAGAGATCGCCACTTTCACTTGATAATGAGTCAAGTTGGAAAAGCTGATCGAAATCGCCAGACAACGAGTCTTTGTTGCCATCAGCGGCAGAAGTATCCATGTTCACGTATTGGTTGAACAAGTCATTGAACGAATGATCGTACTGTTGAGCGAACATTTTGTGGGATTTCCGTTTGCAGCGAGCAAATGAAGTGTAGTCAGCGAGTCGAAGTGTAAAGACAAGACGTGATTGGACAACCACAAAGAAGGTCGCAGATAGAGGTGGGAAGGTTTGGAATAGCTCGGGGATCGACCCGGAGATCCGAAGAGTGCAAATGGTGTAAAGGAGTGTTTGATGTTTGATGTTTGATAGTTTGTCAATCAAAGAAAACACTGCAGATGATGCAAAGAAAGCAAAGCAAACAAACAGATGCAAGCCCTATTTGAATAGCTGCTGGGTTACCAGCCTCATTATTTCTCGAGGCATTCCAGTGCTCTAAAGATGGACCAGGAATGTGCTGCGGGTGACCCGGTTGGCTGATGGAGAGCTCCACCAACCTCCCGCAAGAATGATCCAAGACTCCGCAGAGCTCCTGGGCCAATTGTGAGCTGTGGAGCTATGACTGGCTGTCAATTCCTAAAGGGGCTTTGTGCCGGGCAGCCACCCATTGGAATGTAACCCTCCATCACTACGCCCGAAGCAGCGGATGATCAGGCATCAGGTGAGCCAGTGGAGCGGGTCTCCCAGGCATGTCAAACCGATACCCTTGATTGGAGATCAGCATACCTCCAAGGAGCAAGACCGTTAGGGAGGCTGGTCGTAGACCGGTACGCTCTTCGGGACGTCAAGGATTGGTCAAGGAACCAGGACAGAGCTAGACCGAGGCTGATCATCCGTCAAGCTTGTAGCTCCAGTGTAAGCGTCATGCTAGATGTAATCCGATCATTGACTACCCAAAGAAGACATGATTTAGGCGAAGGTAGGATCGGCACTAGACTTGGCCACCCTTTCCCTCTACCATCACTTCAACATTATTTGTCAATGCACTTCAATTGGATGGAGATGATAGTGCCAATTGGCCAATGTCCTGTACGTGCTAAGTGTGCTGGAATGTGGCCTGGAATGTAGAGGCTGGGCGGAATGTCAAGCCCGCGGCAGCAATGCACGGAAGGACTTTTGGCATTCGAGAAGGACAGATCTGCCGTAGATGCTGTAGAAGCACCGGGGACGCGGCTCGGAAATTTAGAATCTTGATCTGCAGGAGATCGTCGATCATTGTTTGGTGTGTTTGCTTCGACCCCATGTTCTATATTTGGAGCACATGAAGGGGTAGTCGATCAGGATAAGGCCTTGGCTGAATGCGGCGAAGAACAAGTCTTTGACACTACCAGTGGAGGGGATCTGACACTTTGTTCCCTCATCGGAGTAGTCTGGAAGTCCCTGACTCGTCAAGGCGAAGTGTCTCCCCAACAGAGGTGGAGCTAGTCTCTTTGTCTCTAATATAATACCGTTAGCCAAGTGCGTCGAGGTATTCTCAAGGCCACAGGCGCAATGCGAAGGTGCTTTGATTGCCCTTTGTTGGCTGTTGTTGACTGCCGGATTTGGACCATGGGGCCCTGAGGCAATAATAAATCGTAAGCTATAGCCAGCGAGACAGCAGTTCCATGCTAGATTGTGGAATTGACAGCCTTAGTTGAAGTTGATTTCAGGTAATGCTTTTGCATAGCCGAGGTTCAACATGACGTTTTGGGTGGTCTTCGATAAGCTTGCTGCCCGTCAGCTTGAAACTTGCAACTTGCCACAGGGCAGGTATCCGTGTCTGGTTCTTACATCAGGAACCAAGGCGCTTATGCGTGGATGCTGTCGGCCCAGATGAAATCCGGATAAACGAAATAAGCAAGGCATTCAACCACAGTGTCGCTACCCAGGTGAAAGCCAGTTCTAAGAATGACGCAATTAACGTCAGGCATAGGGCACCCACTTCTCTCTCTCGAATATCTCCCAAAGGCTCCAGGGCTCTTGAAAGCTGAGTGGTCAACAAAGGGGCATTGTCATTACTTGTTAGTGAGTCAAGTTGGGTATTTCCTATTATGTTGGAAGTGGCACAAAGCCAGGACTGGTGTAGTCCGCTGACCATGTTCGGCTATGGCGAAAGCCGACATCACAAATCCGCGTGCCATACGGATGTAGAATAATCGTATGATAATATAATCATCAATAAAGATTTGAAATGCTAGTGAAATGCTACATGCTGAGTATTGTTCGAAGGATCTGGAAATAAGATAGGAACAGAATAGAAGAATAGGTGAGGCCCGATTAGGCTTAGTTTGTCCACATTGGGCTGAGTCAGGATGACGGCGAGAAACCCGGCTCTTCACTTCTTCCCTTTTCTCTCCACAAAGGGCTCCAGACGGTGACCTTAAACTCTTCAACTCTCCTCTTTCTGTGCATTTCTGCAGTGTCTACTATTTTGATCATCTCGCCTTTCGTGTCGCCGTCACTTTCACTCCGACGTCGACGTGACTCAACCCGATTTGCCCCTCGTCACACCCCGCGGAACGTGGGTAACGGTCTCATCTATCCTCGCTTCTCCTCGTTTTATCTCTCCTGAGACCCTCGTCGCGACTTTCTCCTGCGACAACGTTCTCCCTCCATCAAGCTCTTGGCCAGTTGCGACATCTTAAGATTCCGCGACATTCCGGAGCCGTTTGCATCGCGTCGCGCCAATACGACGACCACTTTCACATCTTCTTCTCTATCCATTTCACACCCTACATGCATCTCGACAAGACTTGCTGCTTCTCTACAATCTGCGACAGAGATCGAATCCCGTCCTATCACCACAGCAACCAGGTCCGCTTGTCCTGTTACCATACACACCAGATCGGAAAGCAAGGACAACATAACATTTAACTGCAAGCCTATCGTGAAACATGTCTTCTTACTGCATTCTTGCTGGGGACGTCCCCGTCAAGTCTGTTTAAATCCTACACGTTCCACGTGTGTCTGTTACCATGGACTTTTCTCTGTGCTTTGCAGGCCTTCGATGCCCTTGTCTTTTTTCTAAATCGACTTCGATCCAGTGATCAATCTTCGACTGATCGCTTTCGCACTTTCGAATAAACACACTCTGCGACTAATCGCACCTCACCCGATCGCACCTCTTTGACTTCGTTATTCCGTCCTCATCCCGCCCAAGAGTTCCCGGTTACTGGCACAAAGGTTTCCAGAACTCGCTAGCTTGGGCAAATTGCAACACGACAACGACCAATCGTCCCGCTGCAGACATGGACACCACATACGTTCCTCGAATGGGAAACCCAACTCCCCACCGAGATTCGTGGGGCTCTGCATCTTCCACTTGCTCCCATCTCGAAATGTCTTTCTCTCATGACAGTTGCTATGGCTCAGACGAAGTCTCGGTCACATCCGCTGGTACCAACCCTGCGCAATCAAGTATCTCGACTTTCCCTGCCAAGCCACCACTTCATCCTTTCTTGAAATCCATCCTGAAGAACTCCTCTACTGCTGTTGAATCTGACGAAGAGTCGGACTCGGAATCTGGCTACAGCTCCGATGGGGATTCCGAGTACGATGCGCTTTCTGACGAAGAATATGAGGATGAGGATGATGGCAATGCGTCTGACTTCTCGATCTGGGATGAGACCTCTCGAGATGCCCCTGAGACTCACGAAGATCATACCGAGTCCTTTGACGATGCATTCATTTCCTTTGAGGAGAATGCGGTGCGATTTGCCGCCAACGTGCAGTATATTGACTCAGCCGAAGTCTCCGACGACGAGGAGACTCCCGATACTCAGATGACCTGCCATGAGATGATGCTGCTGGCTCTGAAATCCAACACTCAAAGTACTCTGGACCAGCTCGACGCCATGGATATCAACGACTCCGATGACGATGTAGATCCACATGAGTTCCTGAACAAAGTCACCACTAAGCCGGAGGAGTTCTCGCGCGATGCCGTGGACCTGGACCGAAGTCTTTTCGTTGCTTACATGAACGGAATGCATGGGATTGCCGATACGAAATTCAAATCCTACCTTCGAAATCAGGTCGACCACATTCGTCTTGGCCAGGAGGCCGACACCATGGGTCCTGACGGATCATCTTCCTTGTATCTTGACCTGATCTCTAGCCATGTCATCGGCACCTTCTGCAATCTTCTCACTCAAGATGAATTAAATGATTTGATCATCTTCCGCGCCGAAGAGCAGCCCAGCAAGACAAACGATTCGGCTCTCAACTTGGACCATCACAACGCCCTCCTGGACAGAATTGAGAAGTTCCTCCTGGACAGACTCACAAACGGTCACGTTGATGTTGGCCCTGATGAACTGAGCTTCTTTGCCGGCGTGATTGCCCACGACCTCGGCACCAAATCTTTACCAGCGCAGAATTAAGCCATTCCTGCGCCTTGACGGCAACCCCTTCTACGATTTACGATTATGAGAAAATGCTTCTTTCGGAGTCGCCCAAACCTGGGCGACGGACACAACGGGACGGCTCTTCAGCCAGGAAAAGTTCTCAAATTTTCTCAAGGGTTGGTATGGGTCGGCATTCGACAACCATGTATCTTCCCGATTAAGCACCTGAATTTCAAAAACAGTTTCAAAGCTTTCAACGTTTCAAGGTATAGGAAATGACGTAGCGTAGCATGCCCAGCATCGCCACATTACTATGTAGGTATTGATGTACAGTAAGTATATGCCTCAAGTCAGCACATCGCCTGACGTCCAAGTGAGCCCGATCAGCTCCTCCTTGCCCTCTAGGGCTGCTACCCAAGTCTCACCTAAACAAGGCAACCAACACCCAAAGTCACAGCACGCCTTGCGTTCCAACCCAAAAATAGACACGTACTCGACCTCGAAGCCTCGAAGTAGCGTGTACTACAATCCCACAATGCAGTATGCACTCACCAGAAGCCGTAGTCCACAGCCCTCCCACAAAGGATCTGCAATCTAGATCCTTCTAGCCGGACGTTACACTACACTACCTTCTACCCGAGTACAACGTGAATGTACACGGAATACAAGCCCCACGGAAATCCAGACTCCCCCCCTCCCGCCCCCAGAACAACTGAAAATGACCAGGCACAAGCCCAGTGTTTCAGGATCCCTTCCGTCTTTCTTGCCCCAAACCTAGCACAAACGAATTGTGAAACAGGATGCTGTTTAATCCATGTTGGATATTTGCATTGCATATAATTTCCCGCGCATACGGTACTTGTGTTGTATGTTGTACCATCCATTCTATTCTATCCTATCCAATCCGTTATCCACTATGCTCAAACATATCTGATACCAGACCTGCCGATGGCTTCTACTGGAGACGTCGATCTAGATCTAGAATGTATCTCGTTTACGATTACCATTCAGATCCATTCAGTCTCATCTATAGTGGTACTAGGATGGGGGCTGGGACAACAATGCTCGCGCTCGCGCTCTAGCTAGTTGGTGCATGTTACATGTATATCTATTGTACACCAGGGAGATAGGACCCGGATTTTCCTTGTAGAGATGGACTGTGGCGCTGTCTGTGCCGAATTTCTCTGTGCATTGATGCGATGCTATATAAAAGTTAACTTAATTAAAATGTACTGTTCAAGTGTAAGAAAAATTTACTGTGGATAGTGGACGTGTCGTATCGTGTGTCTACTTGTACTTGTGATTGTTGTTATAGATATATAATTTCCAGAAATCGGAGAATTTCCGTATACTCCGTCCGCCCTTTCCTCCATTATGTAGATAGTCTGTGGGACTGGGTTCTGCAGCGGGGAAACCATACAGTACGTATCCAGTGCGGACTGCCTGAAGAGGTCCAGTAGTGTTTACGTAGCGATGCAGGGTTAACGGGTGATCGGGTTATCTCCAGTGCTTATACTGTAGTTACCTTAAAGTCTTTTCCTGAAAACTTGCTGGAAGAGAGGAATAGCGGTATTTAGTGGTAGCAAACAACAATACATGGATGGCCTCAATACTCCATACTGAGCTCAGAAATGACATATCCATCGCGATATTACTTCGGACCTTACCTACAGCACACCATCGACGTATGATAAATCCAACGAGAACACACAGGTACATATACATGTACATCCTACAGGAAACTATCACCTGGCATAAGCAAACCAACACTTCAGGATATACAGTAGAAAAGCGCACAACCACAAAATGACAGATCACAATGCCTCGTGCAGGACCAAGAATAGAGTCGTCGATATCCGCCGTTTTTAATTTACACGTCGATCACCAACGGCTTGTGCACAGACAGGTACGCACGTACATGAAAATGGACAGGTCCAAATGTTGACTGGGGGAAAGTTAAACCGGGGAAAGTTTGGTGTGTTTAACTTTGATGCACATGTGTGACGATGCGGTGAGAGGTGAGAGTCATGTAACGTTAGACTGAATTTTGGTTTTCGAGTCTTCGTTTCTGGAGTCAGTATCAGTTCTCTGTGCATGTATGTGGATCTGACGATCGGTTCTTTCTATCTTTGGTAAGGGGTTATTATCGTAGGGACTGGAGTTACAGTAGAGTCGATGATAGGGAGTTCTGCAGTGGCATATGCCATCCCCATTTTCGAAGGCGAAGAGAATACTCCATAAAAAGCAAAACAAGAATCAAGCTGGACACTCAGGAGATATTCGGCCAATCCAACTCCAGCAAAAGGGACAATCAAGACGATCACGGCAAGAATCCTTGGTTCTTGGAGAGTCTCCGTACACTAGTGCGTGGAGCCGAGCAGGACTGCCATGAGGGTCTTGACAGCCAGGGACGGAGTGGGCCGTCCTTCTTGCCTGATAGGGAGAAGATCGGACTTGCGAGGTCGAGTCATAATGAGATATGGAGTTTGGGTAAGGGGGAAATCCGCCAGGGGGATTGATATTCGGGATTTTGTCGATCTTGGCCACGCGTGCGGTTGAGATGGAGTTGGTGGATGTGGGGTTACATGTACTGGAAGTGGATGGGGGTATTGTTGCAAGGTGAGAATATTGTACAGTACTTCATTCTGTAGGGAATTCCGTAGGGGGATTTTAATGTTGGCTGTGAGTGAGCCTCCTGCGTTTGATGAGATGAGATGAGATGAGCGTAAGCTACTTGAACGAGGGTGCAGGCAACAATACAATAAGTTGGTTCTAGGGCTGAGTGGTGGTACAAGAGATTATGCATGGTGATGGGATCTGAGATATGGTTGTTATTGTATCCAGAGAGTTCTGACTGCAATACAGTAGATAAAAGTAAAAGTTACTTTTTCCGGATCTGTGGGTCAAGTACATGTACGGAGTGTACGAGATGCCGATCGCCAAGGTTGCGAACAATATCCATTGTATTTAGTTAGTGCCGGAGGACAGTAGCCTGTGGGCATAACACTAGGCACCACATGGCCCCATAGGCTTAATATGTAATAGATTGCGAGTTCAGCTGTGAACGCAAAGATGGCCGTATAAGCATCCTATTCGTTGACCGGGGGGTGCCTGGGATTTACGGGAACCTGGGAAGCCGATTCGGTTGGAGGAACCACGGGTAGACAAAGGTTGGTTCAGATCCAGGTCCGTACGGGGGCATCACATGTAGACTTGGGTTGTGTAGGGCGATAGATTTAACTTATCCATACATGTCTCAGATTACGGTAGAAGTTACGATTATTCCGTACAGTTTTCTGGAAAATCGACAGTAGGGATCGGCCGCTCCGTAGGGAGTTTGCTCCGGACTATGTGTAGCATTTTTGCGCCACAAGAGTTGCCTCGTGGGAACCCCCTGGACCCATGGAACGGCACAAGTGGAAAAAGGACGCAATGCGCTATACCGGCACTACAGCGCCCCATGCGGGTCATCTGAATAGTTGGAAGTTATTAGAAATACTTTATCCTCGTACAGGGGTCGATTTCCCGAGACAACACATTTATTTCCATTCAATGCGTGCAGAATTCCAACAAGCTGAGGCAAAAATCAATAATTATACGAAAGAGGAAAGGCGCCAAAGACTAACTGGGCCGGAGTCCACTTGAATGATGTGATTGGCTGGCGATAGCCAATTGGGCCTGAAACGAGGGGTGTGGGGCAATTTAGCGTGTCGATCGAATGTTCTGTTCGGACTTGCCAGGGGAAATCAAAAAGATATGTGTATATGAGAGAGAGAGAGAGGGAGAGAGTGGGGGAGAGAGGGAGAGAGAAAGAGATAGAGTGTGTATAAAATAGAAACAGGATTATAGTATATGCATAACTATCTACTTTACTCTTACAAACTCTAAGGCCTACACTGTACGTACACTGCTGTATATCCATAATTCGGTAGTGACCCCCGAATGATCCAAGTTCCCCACTATCGCGGATGAGATAATTACTCCTGACTCGCTCTGGCTTTTCTTTTTCTGCAAGCTCTCTCAATGCTACAGAGCAAATCTGATTCAAACGGGTAAGTTGGAAAATCAACCGATTCACTGTCACGGGGGAGGACGTTGCTCGTTGCACCAAATAGCCCCCATTCAGCTGGTCAGGCTGACTCTCGGGCGTACAGGATGATTTAGAAATTCCATTTCTACCCAGCTTCCCTTGATCGAGGGTCAAGGACACATACAAGGCAGTGCCTTCGACCTAAATACGGGAGCTTCCACAATGCAGTCCGCCAAAGCACCCGACTTCCTGGACGCCGGGGCAGTGACCCGTTCCCGCAGCCCCAGTGTCGTCTCGACCGATTCGCAGTTTTCTCGAGTCAACCTCATGTCCCCGCCGTCCGTGACCCCAGCACCAGGATTCATCTCCTCGTCCGCCGCGACGGACATCATCTCTGCCGACCAGGAATTCAATGCGGCCGATTTTATTGCCGAGGACGAGTCCGGGTCTGGCGCCGCGCTGGTGACCCCGGCTGCTCTCTCCCTCCTCAATGCATTCCTCGATAACCTTCTATTCAACATTCTCGCGGCCTCGAAGTCAACCCAGCTGGCATGCATTCGACCGGCCATGGCCGAAGTGCTGAAGCCCCGACTCGCCAAAGAAGTCGTGGCTGCGGCCGAGGAGGAACTGAGTGAATACATGGGTGGCGCGGACGATGAGCAGACTGAGTTCCGTGGAGGCCAAGAGCCTGGCGGTGACTTTGATCTGATTCGCTCCTGGAAATTGACTCGTCTACGATGCATGGTCTACACTCGACTGGGCGACATGGAGGAAGACGACGAGGATGAATTTATTGCGCAGGATGGTCTTGGCGAGACCGATGGGGCGCCACGCAGATTTACTAGTCATGTCGACAACATCACCCCGGCAGCGTCTATTTTCCTCACCTCAATCATCGAATTTATCGGCGAACGTGCGCTCGTCATTGCCGGCGAGACAGCGCGGTCTCGATTGGTCTCGAAGCTCAACGATGGCGATGAGGTCAACGAAGCCGGCGATGAGCGGAAGAGGATCGATCGGCTCGTGGTGGAGGATCTCGACATGGAGAAGCTCGCCCTGAACCCGACCTTGGGCCGGCTGTGGCGGACGTGGAGGAAGCGCAGACGCGGAACCACGCTCTCTCGGACTCTGTCTCGCGAATCATTCCGCCGTCGTGGATACTCTGGCGTCAGTCGCAAGGGCAGCATTGCCACTATCGAGGAACCGATGACCGCCAGTGAACCTCTCCCTACGCAATCCCCGCCACTCGACCCCGCCATGGTCCCCCTGCCAATGAGCGACTACGATGTACAGGAGATCGAGGTTCCTGGTTATACTGGTGATTTGGAGGGCGAGGTACAAACGATGCAGGCCGTTGTTGCTCACAAGGTGCGACCGCGCAGTCTGATGGTATTCTCCTCGCCATCACTTGCGCCAAGATGCCCTGGCGGTGATAACTCCCCCGTGAGCGCGTCAGCCATTGATCCTCCCAAGCTGGTCCGTCATGTTCGTTCACGGTCCCTACCAACTGCGGCGACCAACACTCCAGCGGAAGGGGACGCGGAAGCGGACGCGGAAGCCACGCCAGACCAACCTTCGCCCACCCCCTCCGAGAAAAAGCGACTCGAGACTATGTACGAGGATGATGAGTCCGCAGAATATGTGGATGCAGCCGAGACTGCCCCTGGCGTTGCGATCACCACAGAACACGAGACGTCACAATTGCCCGAGGATGCAGCAGAAGATTCTGATAAGGCAAGGATGTCTGTCCTGCATGAGGAAGAAGAGGAGGCGCCTTTGGCGGTTAATGAGATGGTCGCAACCTTGCGCGCTGGCCCAAATGACGAAGATCTGACCGATCAATCCAATAGTGCTCGGGTCTCTGTGGCATCCCTGGACGATCGGTCGAATCAGAAAGATCCCGAAGTCATTGAGGGCACAGGGTTGTGCGAAAAGCCTAAATGGACCTCGTCGATTAATCGACCCAAACGGAAATCATCTAGGGATGTCAGTCTACTGAATGCAAGGTCGATCTCTGCACAAACTAGTGGACCTGAAATGCAAGCGGTTGCGGAGAATCAACCCCCAACGCAAGGGATGGAGACCGCTCAACCCGAGACACCAAAGATACCCGTCGAGGCTATCAATTCTTCTACTGATCAAGATGCACCCGATGGCGATCGGAATAAAACAGCCATGACTTCCACACCCCCACCTCGGTCTTCTGACGGCGTCGAAGTCGAGAAGTTCCAAGCATTCCTTTCGTCCCCCGATACATCTCGTCCGACTTCTGCTGATAGCGAGCGCTCTCAATCTTCGAAAACTCGCCCTAGACCTGCTCCATTGTTGGTACAGAGCAGCAACCGAAGCCCTACCACTAGTGAACGAGCCGCTGTTCAGCGCATGAGCACCCGGCCATCGGCATCGGTCTCTTCCTCCATACAGACCAAAACCCGCCGCTCTTCAAGCTTCGGGAGTTCACGCGAGACCAAGCGCCCAGTGACTGCTGGTTCTACTACATCTCAAGTGTCGACAAAGCTGAAGGGTCTCATGGGTCGACCACAAGGCGATTCTCCGTCGCTTCGCCTGCGCAGCTCGTCTGAAACGAGCCGGGCATCTGGCGGCAGCGGAGATTCTGATAACGAAATTGCCGATTTGGACAAGTTGATCAACAGCGACGAGACCATCCACTTCACACTCACTCCCCGAAGTGTGAGGGAGATGACGTTCCCTGATCCTCCCAACCGACCAATTCCCCGATCAGACACGGCAGACACGTCCGACCTGGCTGATTTCCTGAAGACCACGTCTCCGCCAGGCGAAGAGAAACACCGTTCTCGTGCCTCAGTCTCTTCTAAAGCCACCGGCGAGATGACTCCAGTCTCCCGAACCAAGTCTATCGAGTCGCCCAAGCACATTCCACTTTCCACGCGCTTGACCAACCGACCAGCAAAGCCCAGCAAGTCGGCACAGGAACGGGAAGCACGAGTTCCTGCGGACGCGACGCGTGAATTTGCGGATTTCATCAAGGCGCCCGGCGCTCCAAATGCGTCGTCCCAGCCCAAGACTTCTACATCTGCGGAGCGCTCACAACCTGTTCGACCTCCATCCGGTCGATCGACTGCCTCTCGCGGAAACCGGCCCAGACTCGAGGCTCGCTCTGCCGAGACCAGTGGCTCTCAAACTTCAGAGCTCATTGATTTCATACGCGAGGGTCCTCCAATGTCAGGTGCTCACCGCATTCCTCGCACGGTGGCTCCCTTCCGGAACACTATTGACTCGGATGATCTCCAAATAGACAACAATCCTGGGTACACTACCTCGAGCTCCATCGCCAGCACTGGTAATGGCTCCACACCCAACAAGTCTCTGACATCCCTCGGCTCTCGTACGGGGTTGCTGGACTCAAACCGAAACAAGGCCTCGGCATCGGGAAGCGCGCCTGCATCTGAGGATCCTGCTCCTCAGCGTAAGCAACGTCGCGTTCGAGACCCGTATGCCATCGACGACGATGACGACGAATATCTGGAAGAGCTCCTGAAATTGGAATCCAAACCCAAGCCCAAGCGCGAAGAAGAAAGCCTCATGGATTTCCTGCGCAGTGCTCCTCCTCCACCCGAGTCTGAAAAGCCCCCTGTGCCATTCTCGGTGAATACCGTCGCTTCCAATGCACGTACGAGGTCCGGTATGGTCCGCTCTTCTCAGAGTTCCTTGCGCTCCCAAGGCAGTGTCCCGGGCAAGGTCCGGAACAACTATGCTACGAAGGTTGGAATGGAGCGGAATAATGGCATCATGCCATCTGCTTCAAACCGCAAAACCGAAACCGGTGACCTGGCCGACTTCCTTCGCAACACTGGGCCTCCAGAGCCCCCGGCGCGAGCTGTTTCTTCCCCGATGAACTCTAAGATGGGCAATGGGGGCTTCTCCCGCTTCTTCACACGCCGAAAGAAGGTCGAGTCGTAGGGATTTGATGGATGTTTTCCAGCATTCACATTCCCTGACGACCACGACCAATGTCTTGCTTTGCTAAGCGTTTCTATCTAACGATACACATATCATGTCCATCACTTTGACTTTCCTTGTCTGTGCAGATGCATTGCCATCGTTTACACTCTTCCGATTTGTTAAAATATTTGTATAGAGTCATGTCTTCTCATTTTCTCCTTCATTGTTCTATGTGGCTACGACCAGGTGGCTTTTTCCTTTCTACTTTTCTTGCGCTTACATGCGTCACTTTCTTTCCTGCCTTTTCATACGGCACTGAATGATTAATACGGTACTCAGCCTTTTTTTCCTTTCTTCTTTATTGACTTGGACGTCTATTGGTTGCTTTCGTGGATTTCGAGATACCATGCTTCTGTACCTGTGCCATTGTTTAAAGACCTGACGCCCAGAAACTGTTTTATTCTTAACCTTACAAATGAAATTCGAACATATCCAATTATCACAAATAAGCACATTAAAAGAACGAATAAGTTAGCTTAATACAATATCCCACATGTAAGTATACTGCCCACCTCCCAACTCCCACTCCAACCCCGGAACAACAATATTCCACCCCCTTACCAGGTGTCATCAAACAACCAACAACACAAGACCCCAACCAAAACGTCAATCCCACCCATTCAAACCCCAGAGACGGCGCAATGGTCTCCTCACAATTCACAATGAGGACCATCCTCAGCCTCGTCTTCGTGTTCGTGCAGCTCGCCTCCGCGCTGAAATTCGACCTCGTCGCTACCTCCGGCCACGGCAAGAATGAGCGCTGTATTCGGAACTTCGTTGCTAAGGATCAGCTTGTTGTTGTTACTGCTATTGTTGGTGGTACTAAGGGAGATGGGCAGAAGGTTAATATTCATGTATGTTTGATTCTGGTTTCCTTATGGTGTTGTATTGGTCGGATCGGGTTGTATTGGATAATTGGATTGGATTGGATTATGGCTAACGTGTTTCTTTCACTGTGACAACAGATCAAAGATTCCATGGGCAACGACCACGGCCGACCAAAAGACGTCGTCGGCGAAACGCGTCAAATATTCACTTCGCCCGCTGATACCGTTTTCGACGTGTGTTTCGAGAACCAACTTACCGGCCACAGTAAGTCAAACCACCACAACCCTAGGTCCAATTCAACGATCCACGATTGAACACCCTCTAATCCTCACGCAACAGACGGCATCTCAAACCCCTCCCGCCCAATCGAACTAGACGTCGACATTGGCGCCGACGCCCGCGACTGGAACAGCATCCAGTCCCAGGAAAAGCTCAAGCCCGTCGAGACAGACCTCCGCCGCATCGAGGAGATGGTCACCGATATCGTTACGGAGATGGAGTACCTGCGTGCACGTGAGCAGCGTCTGCGCGATACCAATGAGAGCACTAATGAGCGTGTGAAGTGGTTCGCTTTCGGGACTATGGGTATGCTTGTTGGGCTTGGTGCTTGGCAGGTTGTTTATTTGAGGGCTTATTTCAGGTATGTTGGGACCAAGTTGGGATTTGGATTGGAATTGGAATTGGCTGCTGACTTTTGCGATTGCGTTGTAGATCCAAGCACCTTATCTAGATTGCTTTTAGTGGGTTCGGACCTGTCTCCGACCTCGCGGTATGGAATGGTTGCATCGTAGATGGATTTGTCCTTCTCTTTTTTTTGGTTACGACGCGGTTGCATTGCAATCCTATTTTGCTCGTGTCGACTGGCATTCTGTTTTAACAGTCATGATCCCAATGATATAAAATGTACACCATGCTTTCTGCGGCCTGGCGCTAATAATATTTTTTTCGTTTTCGATGCTGGTTCTATGTGCTATGCTCTTGTCAACAGGTAACACTCGTGGTAGGTATATACACTATTGGTTGTAGAAATTAGAGATCTGCTGCTCGTATGAGTGGTTTATAGATCCGCAGCTTGCAGAAGGATCTCTGTCGCCCAAAATAGGCTTGATTGGTTAGCATTGAGAGCTATCAAATAGGGCACTGCAGCTTAGTCTCTTCATAATGCCTGTCTTCAATCCAGTCTGTTTCAAATGTTATTTATAACTTCGCTGTGAAGTCTAGTAAACAAGTATCGATATGATTGAATGATAAAAGACAAATCCATAATTGTACAGCTATGCGTACCGTTGAAAGTCGACTGGTTGAAGGTATTGCACCTCGGTTTAAGGTCTTTGAATTAGAAGCTGAGCCTAATAGAGTAGCATTATAGCCGATCACTCTGGGCTTGGCTACCCGGATTTGAGAAATCAACCAAGTCTTGACTACTTAACCATAGTGCAGCTAGTTTCAGTGCTAGAGACCCAATAGGATTGAAGAACAGAGCAAAAGGCCAGGATCCGGAGTGTGTAATACAAGACCTCTCGGTGGAATATTTGGTGCAAACAGTGCAAACTCCACGGGCATTGCAGGAGCTTCGGTTCCCCGGGATGACCTCCGGATGATGTCAAGGCCGGTAACGGTCTCAACTTCTCATCTATCCTTGAGAACAGTCCCGATCAATCATTGGGACAAATACAACAAGATGGTCATGACACGCTGCATCAATCGCCTCGCGCGACCAATGCCATCCTCTTTGAGCTCGATCTCAAGAGTAAACCGTCAATTCGGCACATCAGCTCTACGCCTCAAAGATCGCAGCAACCCAACAACAGATGAACACCGCGCGAACCAGTCCCAAAAGCCGCCCAACCAGTTCGTGCCGAACACTACCTCCACTATGACAAAGGATTACCCCAATGTCGGCGAAAAGCCCGCTCCTCCGGAGATGCTGAACTCTGTCGAGCCTAACTACCGGCCTGCCGATCCCTATCCCGGAAGAATCGAGCATTTCACCGGTGGACGCCAGGATAATGGCGCGCAGAAGCCTGAGCTTGGTGTTGGCGAAATGGAGGGTATTACTTTCAAGGTTGAGCCTCTGAAGAGAACCGGAGAGGATGTCGCGACAAAGAGGGCGCGCTTATTATGTTTGTCGCCCCCATGCATCCCGATCAAGATGATATATCGGAGATATATCGCACAAAACGAACCATACTAACAGTTTCCAGACCAAAGCCGCAAGCGCGGAATCCTCGAGTCAGACTTACTCCTGTCCACCTTTGCCGACGTCTACCTGGCCAAGATGGACCACGACCAGCTTGTCGAGTACGACCGTTTCCTGGACGAGAATGACTGGGACATCTACTACTGGGCGACTCAGGATGCCCCCATTGATACTACTCCTAAGGAGGATCAAGTCACCGAGAACTGGAAAGAGACCGGTGCTAAGAGCGGTGAATGGGCGCAGACCATTGGCGCCTTCAGAGCTGCTTATCGACCTGTTCCTCAGCGCTGGCAGGAGTCTGAGGTACTGAAATTGCTCCGAGAGCATGTTCGTGATAAGAGTGCCACTGGCTTCGAGAAGGCCAAGAATAAGAAGACTGGGGGTGGTCGAGGTCTGGGGAGAATGCCTAATGTCCAGGTGTTTAACTCGTGAGACTTTTGAGCCTGACAAACTGAAGACTAAAGACCGTTTAGTTTGATCTGTACTATAGTCATATTGTCCCGATGGGCATGTTTATTAGAATGTATTTGGCGGCACTGGTATTGTAGAGAGTGTGTGATATTGAAAACGATCAAGATATCAGAAACAGTTCATTCAAATCATGGAGCCCAACATCCATTGCCAATATCATTGCAATGTCCCTGTATAGATCTCACGTGACCCTTCGCTTAGTGTTAGGGCTGCGCGGAACCACACAAGGGCAGCGACAAAGCGGCTTAGGGCTTGAGCGGGCACGTCTGCCTCCCATCTCGATTTTACCTCCCCCCCAGAGTCAACGACAATCTCCGCCCATCCTCCTCTCTCCTTCCCATCACTCATTCCCATCATGGCTGAGCAGCTGGTTCTTCGCGGCACCCTTGAGGGCCACAATGGCTGGGTTACTTCCCTTGCCACCTCTCTGGAGAAGTAAGATACGACCTATCCCGATCGGGGATTGAATTTTCGAAAGGCCAATTTCTGACTTTGATGCGTGATGATAGCCCCAACATGCTGCTGTCGGCATCCCGCGACAAGACCCTGATCATCTGGAACCTTACCCGTGATGAGCAGGCCTACGGTTACCCCAAGCGCAGCCTCGAGGGTCACTCCCACATCGTCTCTGACTGTGTACGCTTTCCCCCTCCCGAATGAACTACACCAAGAACCCACTGGATGCGACAGATGGAATTGGATTGTGCAATTGGAAAAAGAAACGTTGGAATGGTTTTGGCTGACCGCTGGTCTTGTCTGCGTATAGGTGATCTCCTCCGACGGTGCCTACGCTCTGTCCGCCTCGTGGGACAAGTCCCTCCGTCTCTGGGAGCTGTCCACCGGTAACACTACCCGCACCTTTGTCGGCCACACCAACGACGTCCTGTCCGTCTCGTTCTCCGCCGACAACCGTCAGATCGTTTCCGGTTCCCGTGACCGCACCATCAAGCTGTGGAACACCCTCGGTGACTGCAAGTTCACCATCACCGACAAGGGCCACACCGAGTGGGTTTCCTGCGTTCGCTTCAGCCCCAACCCCCAGAACCCCGTGATTGTCTCCGCTGGTTGGGACAAGCTCGTCAAGGTACGCTCGATTCCGATTTTTTCCTACTATAATATTTCCCCCTGTCCCGCATTGTTATTCCCGCGTGATGTTTGCATAAACGTATTTGCTACTTCAGAGCCCTTACCGGCCATGAGACAATTTTCACCCATTTTGCCTGATGGGCATAACAATAACTTTTTTTCTTGTTTTGTTGGAGACGAAAGGAGGATTGAAAAATTTTCATCCTTAACCCACTTGACTCTATTACCAGGGCAATGACGCTGACATATGATCCGCGTTACAGGTTTGGGAGCTCGCTTCTTGCCGTCTCCAGACCGACCACATCGGTCACACCGGCTACATCAACACCGTCACCATTTCCCCCGACGGATCCCTCTGCGCCTCCGGTGGCAAGGACGGTACCACCATGCTCTGGGACCTGAACGAGTCCAAGCACCTCTACTCCCTCCACGCCGGCGATGAGATCCACGCTCTCGTCTTCTCCCCCAACCGCTACTGGCTGTGCGCTGCCACCTCCAGCAGCATCACCATCTTCGACCTCGAGAAGAAGAGCAAGGTTGACGAGCTCAAGCCCGAGTTCGTTGAGAAGGGCAAGAAGAGCCGTGACCCCGAGTGCATCAGCTTGGCCTGGTCCGCTGATGGCCAGACCCTGTTCGCCGGTTACACCGACAACAAGATCCGTGCCTGGGGTGTTATGTCGCGCGCATAGATGAGTTGTGTGTAAACGGAGCAGGAGGAGCCTCTTTTTGACCTATTGACAAGGGAATTGAAAAAAAGTTTCAAAAATATGGCAAGAAGAGCATTGGTTTGGGATGTATGAGCCACGAGCAATGAAGCACTTCGAGCCGGGACCGAAAAGTCCCCGGCCTGGAGGTTTTCTGACATGTCTAGCTTACTTGATCCGCGTTGAATATGATGGATTCTTGTGAACGGCGTGTGATGTTCTAATACCAGTTAAGGCATCAAAATGTTTCCTATTTTTCATAAATCTTGTCTCTTGTTGTAAATCGTCACGTAGCTGTCTGTACCTTCATACCGAAGTCTCTTATACTTGTCATTCCCTTCTACTACACTGTCCGGCACCATAGTAGATTCTTGAATGATATACAGAGTGGTTTGAAAATTTTGATTGTAATGTACAGTACATTAGGCTGCATGCCTTAATCCTAGAGTGGATCCATCCATTATTTTCCCCCGAGTCTCTTCAGAGCCTCGTTAGCCATCAAACTCCCCTCCTCGTATCCTATCCCATCAGCCAACGACTTAGCCTCGATATACCGCTGCTTAGCAATCTGCGGCTTCTTCTGTAGTTCAGCCAATTCACCCAGGTTATACGTCGCAACGACACAAGTAACATCACACTCTTCATCACGCACAGGCGGTTTAATATACGCCGCAACATCAATAGCCTTCTGCGCCCACTGCCGCGCAGCCTCGATAGTCTGGTCAACCGCAACGGGCTGCTGCGGCTGAGACTTCACAGGTAGTTGGGCATGTCCAACCATAGCAGTAGCGACATCATTCAACAGCACGACCTGCTTGCAGGAAGGGGTGTCACCCTCCGCATTGCGGATTAGGTCCAATGCACGAAGATACAGCGGCATGGCAAGTTCAAACCGCTCCTTGGCGACATATGTATTAGCCAGGTCAGCCAAAGCAGTAGCAATCTCAGTTAGATTCAGCCATGCCTCGCCGTCTGCCTCGCTCCCGCTGCCCGAGCTGCCAACGGGAAGACCCAGCCTCTGGCGACGGTGCATCTCCTTCAGGCAGAGTTCCACAGCAGCGACCTGCGCCTCCTCGGCCTTCTTATCTTCCTGGATGTGGTCGCTGGCATACAGCTCGCCAAGCTTCATCTGTATACCGATAACCTTCTTGAGCGCCTTGTCTCGCTGGCGAATCTCATACTCAGCTTGCGCTTTCAAATCCTCCTCTGTCTCCTGCATCACATCGGTGTTGATCTGGATATTCTCCGGGGCGATCTTTGCTGGTGCAGATGCAGGTGCAGGTGCAGGCTTCGAAACCCCGTTCACAGTCCCACCAACCTGCGCACCCTCCATCGCCCGCCCATTCTCAATCCAAACAAGGGTCTCACTCTTAGTCCGTTCCAACACATCAATCGCCGGCTTAACCAACCCGGCCTTCTCAAGCATCATCGCAACCTGTATTTTGATACCAAGCACTTCATCCGAGAACGGATGAACACCCAACTCAGCCGCTATCCGCAGTGCCTCCTTATACGCCTGTAGCGCCTTAGGTGGGTTGAGATCGATCTCGGTGAAGTACACAGCCGTGCGGAGCGCATCAGCCACCGGCGCCGGGAACTTGTGGTACTGCGGCGCGACGCGGGTCAATTCCACATAGGAGATGTAGGCGAAGGAGATGGCTCCGCCGACTATGGAGACGATTGCTAGTGGCAGGAGGATTGGGTTCTTGCGCCAGATTCCTTTTGATGCTTCGCGGTACTTGCGCCGGATCTTCTCCGCTGTGCTGAGGTGGCGTGTGCCGGTGATGTAGGGGGTTATGAGGGGTTTGGCATTGCTTGTGCGTGGATGGGGGGTTGGCCGTGTGTTGGTGTATATTGAGCGGGTTAGGCTTTGGCGTTGTGATTGTAGGAGTGTGGCGGCGTGGGCGCTTGTGCGCCGTGATACTGCGCGGAACATTGGGTTATGTGGTTGGGGTTCGTTTTATGTTGGGTATTGAATCGATTGACGGCTAGGATGCAATGGGTGGAGTGTAGAGAGTGAATAGTGTGAAGAGTCACTTTGGCTATGGGATGGAGACGGAGCCCGCCCTCGTTTTTCTGCTGGTCCAAGCTCCGCTCCGCTGTATGACGTCGCCTCTTCTACATCTGAGCTATTCACTCTCGATTGTTCTAGCATCAGTTAGGCACATCTCAAACCCATAGGACTCATAGGAAAGGGCTCGACTATTTCTATCAGCAATGTGTGGGCGATATGCCCTAGGCGTGGTATGTTATAATCCCTCCATCTAGACGTCCTAACTAACAATTCCAAGCGCTTGGCGTATATCCAGCAACGCATGCAAGAGCAAGGTATGCCGGTGGACGAAGCACCAGATGATGACGCAGTCAGAGAAACATATAATTTTGCACCTGGAAACTTCGGTGCTGTCTATCGTGCCGATGTCCCTGAACCAGGGCGCTCCCATGTCGCCGATAGTGAAGACCAGAACCAAGACCATGAGAAGTCCCAAGGTGATAAGGATCAGATGTCCAAGTCTGCAGACAAAGAAGCCATCCGATACAAGCTTCAAAGCATGAAATGGGGTCTCATTCCTTTCTGGACGAAGCAGCAGCCAAATTATGGATCCATGTTGCGCACGATCAACTGCCGTGATGACTCGCTGATCGAAGATCGTGGAATGTGGACCACCATGAAGCGGCGTAAAAGATGCATCGTAATTTGCCAAGGCTTCTATGAATGGTTGAAGAAAGGTCCCGGAGGCAAGGAAAAGGTCCCGCACTTTGTCCGACGTAAAGACGGGGAACTGATGTGTTTTGCTGGGCTGTGGGACTGTGTCTCATATGAAGGTAAAGCATAGCTTGTTTGACTTTGGGCAAGACCGGGACTGGAACTAACGTTGCAAAGGCTCGGATGAAAAGCTGTACACCTACACTGTTATCACGACCTCATCCAACTCCTACTTGAAGTTCTTGCATGACCGGATGCCAGTCATTCTCGATCCGGGGAGCGAAGAAATGAAGAAATGGCTTGATCCTAAGACAACAGCCTGGTCGAAGGATCTCCAGTCCATACTCAAGCCATACGAGGGTGCATTGGAGTGTTACCCTGTCCCCAAGGAGGTTGGCAAGGTTGGAAACAACTCTCCGGACTTTATTGTGCCTGTCAACAGCAAAGAAAACAAGAGCAACATCGCGAATTTCTTTGAAAATGCTAAGAAGAAAGAAGAAAAGCCCACAGCTACATCTGAGGTGCCTGAAACCTTTCCAAAGCAGGAGCCTGTGTCGCCAGAAGGGAAGGTTGCAAAAGAGGAGCGTTCTACACATGATCATGAGTGGAGTGAAGACAATGCCCCTAAACCAGTACCTGCTGTCAAGAGAGAGCATAGCCCAGAGGACTCGAGAATTGCAGAGGAAAACAAAAAGCAAAAGACAGATCCAAAGCCCACAGGGCTGTCGCCACAGAAGACAAAGTTGCGAAGCGCTACCCATAATAGTCCCATGAAGAGGTCCAGTGAGACCAAGGCAAAGGATGGTTCGCAGCCAATTACGAACTTTTTCAAAAAGTGATGAGACATGGAATAAAGCAAATGATTTATGTTTCTTGGTTTGCCAATTATATTCGTAACTTAGCCCCAGAGGCCGAAGCTAATAGGGAGTGGAAGGTCCAACGGAGAGATATAAATGTACACCATGGGTAGCCAGCAGAGTTGAGCTCACTCTGAGGCCGACTCGCACAGTGTTGGGGTTCGATCGGGACCACCACACCCGAACCATGAAGGATGAATGCCTTGAGGTCCGCAGTGACGGTCCACGGGGGAGGGGAAGGAAAGGAAGGTGGGGGAGGATGGGGGGAGGGAGATGGGGAGAAAAAGAGAAAAGAAGAAAGATATGAAAAGGAAAGAAAGAAAAGACGTAAAGATGGGAAAGTTGGGGGTATTTATACCCAGAGACCAGCCGTCCCGATTGGGACGGATTATTGAGGAAAGTGTTGTCATCTCATTTATTTGCCTGATTTGGCTGCAGGGCCAGGAACTCTTGTTGACTTTGAACTTGCCATTGTATCCACCCCTCCATAGATCGTCAAACAATAGGCCCCTTCATGGAGGAGTCCTCCGTATATTGAAGCCATTCCTGACGGACTGTCCACGTTGTACATGTTGATAGCGATGAGGGTCATATTAGCTAGAATGTGAACTTTGAGCTGAGAGCTGTTCAGATGTGTGAATTTGAAATAATGTACATGAAGATCTGAATTAGATCTTAAGAAGATTTTTGGGTCTCCAGCTCTCGAAGCTTCTTAACCAATTTCTCTCTGAGGAAGGGACTCAACCCGAAGCTATGGCATATGTTAGCATCACATTGCACCAACTAATTTTCGAGAGTACGTACATTCCGTCTCGGGTCACCATCCGATAGGTACCTGTGATGCGTCAGCTTGATGTGTCAAGTCTAATCCCATTCGAAGCCTTACCACTAGGTTGATAGTTGCCGTTGCCGCCAACAAATTGACCATTCGAATCCACCTCCAGACTACCGAACATATCCTCTGGCCTACAAAATGTCAGTTGCCGTCTCATGTGAAGCGGTAACACCGCTTGAACATCAAGGCACATACCATGCAATGCGTCCATAGTCAGGGGGCCGTCTGCTATCCGACACATGGATCCAACCACCACGACCACCAGATCCCGCACCACCCTGGCCACTAGCACCACTGTTGGAATCACCAGCTTCCCCGCGACGTTTCCTTCCTCGCTGACGTTGGCCACTTAAAAGCACGCCGCCTGAGTTCAGATTCGCCCCGGCCATGGAAACCATAACTTGTGCTTGGGACTTGGCGTCAGGGTCTTCATGCGCATGCTCGGAGCATACTTCTTGAACTATATCCAAGAACTTGGGGTTTTCCCTGAAGGAGTCTGTTGTCGGCGGCAGTTGACTGGAAACCCCGATGGCTAGGTCAGGGTTGACTGGTTCCGAGGGCAATAATGACAATATGTGCGATCCAGCTGTTGGTCCAGCATTTGGAAACACGTACTACCAAGCTGTCAGTATTCGACCAGGCTAGGGTAAGGTGCAACAAAGATCACATACTATGTATGGGTTCCCTTCTAGGGTGGAAACAGAACGGAATTGAGTCCATTTTGGGAGACCCCGGGCCGTTCGGCCAATAGCTCGTGCTGCAAACATTGTAACAGTACTAGGATGAATCACTTGGTGATTTGCTTCTTATAAATTCAGGGTCGGAGCTCACAAGCAATTGGATCATAGCTAGAAGAAAAGGCAGGCGGTGTTGAAGGCGGTGGGTCTGTGCTATGACGATGTGGACAAACAGTGCAAACTCACATGATCGATCCGATCTTTGACAGCTGTTTGGATAGTTTCTTAAAATATTCTCATCTTGGTGTTGTCAATTGCAGTGTTCACTGGGAACGGGGGAGCTCCAGATGGACCAGGCCTTTAATTCGTGATTTCAAGTTACCGTGTTGCCCTTGCGCATCTCTTCGACTGGCACGCGCATTCAGAGATACCCGACCCTGCGTTTTGTGCTTCGATCTACTTGATACCCTTCCTCAAATAAAGTTGACCATTCTTGATCGCTACAGTATTCTCCTGATTACTCCTTACTACACTCCTCTCGCCATGGCGACTCCCTCAGCCAAACCTGGCACAACGCCAACCCATCTCTCCTCACCTCACCCAACCTCAGCTCCCCTCTCTCGCTCAATCGCCCATAGATCGCCTTCGATGAGGACACCAACGGCCTCAGGAACTGCACATGCGCAGCATCCTAGCGTTTCCTCCCATCAATATGCTACACCCCTTGCCGTAACAAGTGGGGTCGACGACCCGGTCAATTTCAGCTCGCCTTCAGCTCTTTTAGCGCTCGGTGGATACACTGGAATCAGCCCATCTCCTGCAGTGCATGATGGCTTAGGATCTGGAATGAACGATAGTGACATTCAAAACCTTGGCATGCAGGGTATCAAGCTTGGGGTAGCACGAGACAATGATGAAGAACAAAGGCATCGCATCGAGGGAGTCGTTCAACTTTTACGTGCGCGAGTCGCTGGAAGAGGTGTCTCTCGGGAGAGCGTTGAACGATTAAGTCGACTCGAAGGATTTGAATCAATCTGGGAAGACGATAACCTCAACATCGCTGGTAACTTTGTCGATCTCGAAATCGATTTCCACGCTGGACATGATGTCGTCAAAGATGTCAGTCTACGATATGCTACGCCGGAATACACAGAAGGCGTGCGGCGAGAGGAAGCCACTGCGGTCCTGAAACGTACCCTCGCTCAGGTCCCGGAGGATGCTGTAAGTGGAAACTGGAGATCACTTCAACGGTTCCATGAAAATTTACAATGGCTTGCAAAACTTGATAAGCTTAGCCAAGAAGTCAACTGTTTTGAGGCACTGGAAAATCTCGAAGAGAACTTTAAGCGCATCTGGGTCGAAGAAGGGAAGAATGGGAAGCATGGCGGTGATTATCAACATCTTTGCGCAGGTATGATCGGCCGTCCCAGCATGCATAAGGGAACTCGAATTGGCCTCGGCTTGGAATATTGGGTTGAACAGGCTAAGGTCTTGGATGCCAAGCAGCAACGGACCTCTCCAGATGCTATGGAGATTGATCGACAAGGTTCAGATGATGGGGATGAACTGGATGATCAACCAAGAGCATGGACCGTCATGATTGAATGTGAAGAGGGATATCCATCATTACGCATTTCAAAGGAGTGGGTCGGCGCAGAAGCCTTTACTGCAGGCGAAAGCAGTGAATCGTTACCTTCGAATGGTGCTGCAGGGTCTGTGAACTGGCTTGATCCTCCACAGACTATGCGCTTGACGCATGGCAACCATGATCCCATGGCCCTGGATTCCAGCATGCTCGAGTCATCACCACCCAATCGCCGATTCGTTGCTAAGCTGGAGCCTGGGCTCGATGTTCCAATT